CAGTGTTGAAGGATAGGACTTTGAACCCCTATCTCTTAACGTTGGAAGATCGAACGAAGCCTAGGTGAGCTTCGTGGGTGTGCTAGGTTCCGTGACTTTTGGACCTCGCAAAGTTAAAAAAAAAAATTTTTTACAAATTGATTTGAGATATGAGGACGACACTTTTTGGGGCCAGTGTTGAAGGATAGGACACTGCTCGCCCATCTCTTAACGTTGGAAGATCGAACGAAGCATAGGTGAGCTTCGTATGTGTGCTAGGTTCCGTGACTTTTGGACCTCGCAAAGTTCAAAAAATTTATTTTAACAAATTGATTTGAGATATGAAGACGACACTTTTTGGGGCCAGTGTTGAAGGATAGGACTTTGAACCCCTATCTCTTAACGTTGGAAGATCGAACGAAGCCTAGGTGAGCTTTGTGGGTGTGCTAGGTTCCGTGACTTTTGGACCTCGCAAAGTTCAAAAATTTTTTTTTTTTAAATTGATTTGAGATATGAGGTCGACACTTTTTGGGGCCAGTGTTGAAGGATAGGACACTGCTCGCCTATCTCTTAACGTTGGAAGATCGAACGAAGCCTAGGTGAGCTTCGTGGCTGTGCTAGGTTCCGTGACTTTTGGACCTCGCAAAGTTCAAAAAAAAATTTTTACAAATTGATTTAAGATATGAAGACGACACTTTTTGGGGCCAGTGTTGAAGGATAGGACTTTGAACCCCTATCTCTTAACGTTGGGAATCGATCGACGAAGCCAGGGTGACCTTCGTGGGTGGGCTAGGTTCCGTGACTTTTGGACCTCGCAAAGTTCAAAAATTTTTTTTTACAAATTGATTTGAGATATGAGGACGACACTTTTTGGGGCCAGTGTTGAAGGATAGAACACTGCTGGCCTATTGCTAGGTTCCGTGACTTTTGGACCTCGCAAAGTTCAAAAAATTTTTTTTTACAAATTGATTTGAGATATGAAGACGACACTTTTTGGGGCCAGTGTTGAAGGATAGGACCCTTCGAAGCCACCCGAGAAACCCGAATTCCGCGTCTCTTAACGTTGGTAATGAATCGAACGAAGACAGGGTTGGCTTCGTGGGTGGGCTAGGTTCCGTGACTTTTGGACCTCGCAAAGTTCAAAAAATTTATTTTAACAAATTGATTTCAGATATGAGGACGACACTTTTTGTGGCCAGTGTTGAAAGATAGGACCCTTCGAAGACAACCGAGAAACCCGAATTCCGCGTCTTTCGTTACACGAAGGCGAGAGGAAACCGGGTTTTCAAGACGGAATTCGCGCATCCCTATATCTTAGCGTTGGGAAATCGAACGAAGACAGGGTGGGCTTCGTGGATAGGCTAGGTTCCGTGACTTTTGGAACTCGCAAAGTTCAAAAAAAAATTTTTGACAAATTGATTTGAGATATGAGGACGACACTTTTTGGGGCCAGTGTCGAAGGATAGGACCCACGAAGCCCACCCTGTCTTCGTTCGATCTCATAACGTTAAGAGATAGGGGTTCAAAGTCCTATCCTTCAACACTGGCCCCAAAAAGTGTCGTCCTCATATCTCAAATCAATTTGTTAAAATAAATTTTTTGAACTTCGCGAGGTCCAAAATTCACGGAACCTAGCCCATCCACGAAGCCCACCCTGTCTTCGTTCGATTCATTCCCAACGTTAAGAGATAGGGGTGCACGAATTCCGTCTCGAAAACCCGATTTCCGATGTCTTCGTGGAACGAAAGACGCGGAATTCGGGTTTCTCTGGTGGCTTCGAAGGGTCCTATCCTTCAACACTGGCCCCAAAAATTGTCGTCCTCATATCTCAAATCAATTTGTTAAAATAAATTTTTTGAACTTTGCGAGGTCCAAAATTTACGGAACCTAGCCCATCCACGAAGCCCACCCTGTCTTCGTTCGATTTCATAACGTTAAGAGATAGGGGTTCAAAGTCCTATCCTTCAACACTGGCCCCAAAAATCAATTTGTGAAAATTTTTTTTTTGAACTTTGCGAGGTCCAAAAGTCACGGAACCTAGCACACCCACGAAGCTCACCTAGGCTTCGTTCGATCTTCCAACGTTAAGAGATAGGCGAGCAGTGTCATATCCTTTACCACTGGCCCCAAAAAGTTTCGTCCTCATATCTCAAATCAATTTGTAAAAACAAATTTTTTTGAACTTTGCGAGGTCTAAAAGTCACGGAACCTAGCCCACCCACGAAGCCCACCCTGTCTTCGTTCGATCGATTCCAATTACCACCCTCCTTCCTCCCAGCAAACCCCCCTTTTTTCGGCTGTTTGAGACAGGTGAGCCGAGCCTGCTCGATCCTGCTATCATCATCTACGTCATCATCATCACCATCATCACCACATAGGCACGACAAACTTTATTGAATTAAGTCTGACTTCTATTTTCATTGTTTCCCTCCGTTTTTTTGTTTTTTTTGGTGGAGGAGCTATTTATTTCAAATTTCAAAATACATTTCTATATAAATATTTATATATATATATATATATATATATATTCATTTATTTATTCGGTGCTAACTTTCGAATATTTCCGTTTGGATACGGAACGATGGTTGCGTTGGTGGCGGTGGTGGTCGTCGCCGCCGCGTCTCTTTCGAGTCTCTTCGACTAGAGTTTGTTTCAGATCGTCTATTGCCGATATAATTTGACAAGAAATGTCCAATTTTATTGTCTATGCATTTCTTTCAATTGCTCTTTTTCGTCATGCCATCTCTGTTCCGCCATTTTTAATTCGTTCCTCAATTCGGTCATCTGCAGTTTCAGTTGTGCTATTGTTTCGTCGGCGGTTTGTAAGCGTATTCTGGCATTCTTCAATTCCGTCACCAAATCGGACAAAGCCCCGTTAGACTTGATCTGCTCTCCCAGTTTCAAACACTCCGACTCCCTGCTTCTGGTTACGGGTCTCTCTATTTTCTCTACTTCTCTTCGAAGTCGTCTTCTCTTTGCCTCGGCGTTCCGCAGTCTTCATTCTTTTTCAATAATTCTATCGGCGACGCTGGCCACTTTGAGAACTCTACACCATAGCGGGTCTCCCGGTTTCGATTCAACCGCCCTGCTTAGGAAGCGCCCGAACTGGGATTGCCCGTACTTCCCGACGACATCCGTCTCGTCCAGTGTTACGGTTACTATGGAGGTGGGAGCGGAACCTCGCTCAGATTTTGCCATTTTGGACAGAATCCCATTCAAGTTTACTTGGGGAAACCACTCCATTACATCGTTGCCGCAAAGCATTCGCCGTTTGTCCTTTTGCGATCCGATGAGATAAACCGTGTTACCTATGTAATACAAAAGAAAAGAAAAAGAAAACACGTTATAGAATTTGTGTGCATTTTAATTAAGTATTATGAAAAAAAAAAAGAAAAACAAACCAACACAACTCACCTACTAAAGAGTCTCCGTAAGAAAGTTGTCTTATTTTTCCCTTGCATATCACTGTTTCGTCGGCGGTCACCTCCTGTACCATGTCGTGTTTTTCCGACATCCGTCTTAAAACGGTGAACGGCATCAAGGCAGCTTTTCGAACTGTTCCATCTGATGTTTTCAGTAGAACGCCTTCCTCGTCGTCTTCGTGGATGCACGCCATCGCCATCAACACAGCAAGATCGAACGAATCATTTTTGCCTTCCCTCATAATCATCATCGGTTCGGGAAGATCGGAATGTGGGGAATCTACGAAATCGGCAACAGTATTCGAATTTCTCGTTCGAGAAGGTACGTTTAAGAACGGTTGGTTCCTCTGACACGCTCTCATCCTCTCCGTCCGATTTAGCTCTCCGAACGCTTTCATTATTTCGTTCTCTTGATATACCGCCATCAGACGGTAAGCCTCACTTACGCTGCTGACCACTGCGTACGGGAGCTGAGTGTTCGTGTCTAAACAAAAGAGCAGCATCGGCATGTCGAACCGACGAGTTCGAAATCCGGTCAGAGATTCCACAATCGCTCCGAATGCCGAAGCGTAACTAGTGTTCTTTCCACCTCCGCAGAACGAAAGCAATTTGGTCAGATCACCACGTACTTCCACGGTTTGGGTTTCGTTTTCGTTTTTGGTTTCGGTTTCGTTTTCGGTCACTGTTGAGGTCACTGCTTCGGTCACGGTTTCTTCATCATCTTCTTCTTCTTCTTCATCATCATCTTCATCATCATCATCA